TATCCATTCTATTCAATCAAACATAAAATGGAAAAGACACCCTCCTATCCCCAGGGATATTTCATCCATCCCTCCCCCCATTTCTTCCATCCATTTTTCCATCCCTCCAACCAAACGAAGCATAAGGGACCACTCATAGGCAAGCACTTTGTAATTAATGCATAATTGTCATTTGAGTATATACTTAATCTAAGAAATCTAGAACACACAAACAATTTTACATGAGCGTCACATGTTGTGATTAGTAGAATGAAAAAAGGAATTTAGTAATGTACGGTGTCATTGAATTTAAAGACTCATGATAATTTTGTATATTTACAATTTTGTTAATGTTTAATTAGTTAAGTGAGTAAGTCATTCGGTCATGGTGCCTCATGACTCAGGTTTAAGGTTCGACTTCTCTTAGTATAAATAATTCTTTGGATGAAACTATTGTTATTAATTTTGTTATTATTATTAGTTAAAAAGGTCATTAATAGAGGGAAAAAGGGATTATTACATTCATTATTGAATTCAACTGAAGAAGGAGAAAAAGCCCAATTCTATCATAAATGTTGGCCTACATTCATATTTTGGGCCAGTTCTGTTATCCTATTCCAGAACCGGCCCATTACCAGTTTTGGCAACAAATGTCGTGGTTCTTAGGAGCATGAAACTCATCAAATGACATACCAGGCTACAATGAAATAAAATCACCCGAATTTGCTCATTCATTTAGTTAATTTATTTTTTCTTCTTAGTTGACACTCATTCACACATGCCTCCACTGAGACTCGAACTTCTAACTTCCCTTAAAGAAGTAGTAGTCTAGTACCACTGGGTCATTGATATGTTGTCATTTAAATGTCAACACAACATATACAAGTTTGGTGTAGGGTTTTTTTTTTTTTTTTTTTTTGGTAATCGTGGGTGTCCGGGCCAGTTTGCGTGCACCTCGACTAATCCCACGCAGTCCTGAAGTTTGTTGTAGAGTTACTTAGGCCATAGATTTTTATTTTTATTTATTTATTTTTTTTTTGAAAACATTGTGCCATTTTACAACTTAAAAAAAAAAAAAACTAAGACAATATGGATTAACATGTCACCTAGACAAACAAAAATCAATTCTATTTCTCAGAAAATGAAAATAATAATAATAATAATAATAAAGAAGGAAGAAGAAGGAATTGATGAAAATAAGAGCAGACAAATTTGGGATATTGCATCAACTTTGGTGCCAATAACAAACTCCTAAAACCAAAAGGGATTCTAAAAATAATATACAATCTATACAAAATTATAAAAATTAAGAAAAAAATAGATATGAATATTTAATGATTAAATTAACATAAAAATATTCAATGAAATTTGACCGAAAAATAACATTTAAAACATGAATCTTTTTAAAAAGATCTGATCAAACTGCACCTGGAAAAAAATCAGTAAAATCTTACATAAAAATTGTATTGAGTAATTACAATTCTACTGAAAAAGACATTGGCATTAGAAGCATATTTCAAACTAAGATTGAATAATGTACTTTTATTCCGGAATTTCACGACAACAAATTGGGCAGTTGTTGCGTCCTTCTAACCACTTAACGACACACTGATAATGAAAAAACATTGAGAACAGAGCAACCGAGTGAACTCAGTTCCCGCCAAAATACAATCCAAACAAACCACACAATTAGTACTAGTAGTAGTAGTCGTCTCATCCCCTCTAATCCACACTGAAATTTCTCTTTCTTCAACCCATCAATGGCAGATCCTGAGGCACCCCTTTTCCTCCTCCACACCGATTCATCATCCACCATCATGGACACGTCTTCTTCTTCTTCATCATCAGTCTCGAAAAACCAATCTTCATCACCAATTCTCATCAACCACTTCTTCAAATTCATTAATCTCCACAAAACCATCTTCATCACCAATTCCTTCAACAGCCACTTCTTCTTCATCATCAATAGCCTCTACTAAACCATTACCATTAAAAATTCGGTTTCCTTCTTCACCAAAATACTCAACTGCTATTATGTCAAAATTGACATAGAGGTCGACCACAACTTCAACATTCCTGAACAAGTAATTGCAGATTTTCTTTGTCAGGTAATCCACCGAACGGGGATCGAAGTTCTGGTCGGACCACCAGAGCTTGGCCCGGATGTGGCGCCGGAGGCGTATAGGCTGGTTGACGAGGGATTTGGGGACATGGAAACTTGTAGATGACTCCGACGAACCCATGTATTCTTCTACTCTACACAATATTATTTTGTCTCCTGTCATCCTTAGGAACTCCGTTTGATATTGGCGTTTGGTGTTGATTTCAATCACAAACGAATTATGGGATTGTGGGTTGTTGTCACATTCTAGTATTTCACCATAAATGAATATTGAAGAAGTATCCATGGATGAACTAGCGAAGTGTGTGTTTGTGTGTGAGAGAGCTACAGAGAGGACCGTGTTAGGTTGCACCCGCAAATAATAAAAAGAAAATCCACAGCTAGCTAAATAGTATGGGTTTCTTTTATAGGTTCAAGTTTCCTTTTATTTCCAAAGTTAAGTTCTCCTATTTCTAGTTGAATTGAGTTTTGCATTCCAATTTGAATTTGGATTAACCGTCGTTGTTGCAATGCTAATTTTTATTTTATTTTTCAATTTGAAGTTCTAATTAAGTTTCCTTATTCATTCCTTACTTTCCTAATTTGTTCTCTATTAAGTAGTCTCTGTTAAGGAGTAGTATTACTACTTAATAGTCCTTAATGAGAAAATGGACAAATCTTAGAAGAAAGGCTTGCCTAGTTGGTCATTTAATGGGTTGAACATTAAATTTTTTAGTGAATTCAAAACGTTATACCTTGGAGTTCACTTTACTAGACGAAAATTAATGATAAAAGTAAAAGCAAGAAAGTGGAGTGAAAGAAAAAAAAGTATAATAAATAACGGAAAATTTTTCTTGAAAATTTGTGAGAATATTATATGAGGGTCACATATAATGATGAGTAGAGGTAACAAAAAAAAAAAAAAAAAAAAAAAAAAAAAAAAAACAACCCTTAATAATGTACCATGTTATTGAATTTGAAGCCTATGGTTATAATTTTGTGCAGTGGTGCTAATGTTTCAATTAGCGAGTTTTTAGTAAACTATCAATTATACTTTCAGGTGTCAAAAATATATATATGTATATATACTTTAAAATAATTGTTTTGATCTAGAATTTTGGAAATTTAAGAGGGATAATTTTGTGGTTCATAAAGTGACCATTTAAGCAGACATATATGAGTCTATGACATGCACACAGAGAGAGAGAGAGATTTGACCATGGTGCCATTTTGAAGGGCCAGTTTTTTTTTATTTTTTTGGTAAATGAAGGAACAGTATTTAAGACCGTGAAAATACAAAATAAGATGAACCTATTGTTATTAATTTTTAGAGTAATGTGCAATAAACCCCTCAACTATACTCCAAATGCAACCTTAACCCCCCCAATTACAAATAACCCCTAAATTATGAAATTGGCCAAGTTTTAAGACAGAAAGTTTTTCAGGTGAACTACTAGCACTGGAAATATGTAAAGACTGTTTTACCCCTTTAATGGGAGTGCCGCATCAGCACGAGCAGTAGAACTGAGATAAATGATGTGGGACCCATCATAATCAGAAGAGCCACTAAACTGTCGACACATAGGCAACCTTGTCAAAACTTGACCCCTTTACTAGAAGGGTGCCACATCAAATGTTTCATATCATGTACCTTCCGAAAAAAATAAAAAAAATGTTTCATATCATGCTCCGTGGTTTTTTCTTCTCCGGCGACGGCTTCCTCTGGTTGGTTGTTGTTTTTTCTTCTACTGCTACCATGTCCACCACGAACGAACAACACCAATATCTCAAACATTCTTCCATCATTTTCTCAATAAACTTTTTTTTTTTTTTTTTTTTCCTCAATCCACCTTAACGCTGGCGCAGAGAAGAAAAAAAAAAAGATGATTTGGTACGTGATGGATCTGATTCGTAAATAATATCCCAAAACAAAAAATATTATTTGGTGTGTGATTTGGTACGTGATGGGTCTTTCTGATATTCATTATATTATGTTATGAAGGATAATTGCTGAACTGTCTTAATTTCTATTCTGTCAATTACATGGAAATGGATGGTTTAAATTGTTTATTCTTATTTGAAGGGTTTGATTTAGGATTCCATTCGGAATTTGATTGACAAAAATAGTCCTCAAAGATTGGTATGAAACGCCAACACTCTCCCACCGCTTTTATTTCACCATCAAGCTGACCATGTTTTGTATCCTATTGTTGATCCCCAAAACCTAATAAATCGGCCTCAAAACTTGTTGTGATTGACCCACCGGAGCATAGTTTCCACGGCGACAGAGGCGTAGATTGGAAGACGTGAGTTCAGTCACCTGCCAGAGGTGATGGTGGCGGCGCAAGAAGCAGTGAGGATGGAGACGAAGAGGATATATATATATATATATATATATATATTATACAGTAAAAGCGTAAAAGCATATGAATGATACGATGGAGAGGAGGTGGAAGTATAAGGGTTCTATGGTCATTTAAGTAAATTTAGGTTTGTCACGTGAGGGCCATGTGTTTAAAATCCATCCACCGGTGGCAAAATGCAACCAACAGCCATAGTTGAGGGGTTTTTTTTGTTACTTTAAAATTTTAAAAGGATTTTTTGCTCATTTAAGAATAGTTGAGAGGGATTTATTGCACTTTATCCATAATTTTATTATTATTATTATCATTATTAGTTTAAAAGATCATTAATAGATAAAAAGGAATTACATTCATTTTAAACTATTGTTATTAGTTGATAAATTGCTAAGCTGCCAGCCAGTCAAATGCCGAGAAGGTGAAAAGCCCCAATTTTTTTTCACCGGCAGCAAACCAAATTTGACCAAGTAGAAGCTATCAACATTGTCGGAGTAACCTGAAGCAATTTTCAATTCACAAAATTAAGAGATTGGATATTTTATTAATGAATTTATCAGCTTTGTATATGTTTTTATGTTAATAAATAAATTCTAAACCCAAAACGAATTATAAAAATAGTACAATCTGGCATTGTCTCAAAAAATTATAAAAATTATGAAAAAATATAGATAAATCCCTAATGATTAAACTAACACGAATAAAAAAAATTAGGAAGAATTCGAACTGTTTAAATCTCCAAAAAAAACAAACTTCAAACATTGAATGAAATTTAGTCAAAACATGTTACATTGAGAATTACAAATTCACTGGAAAAAAAAAAACACTAGCAGTAGACATTAGAAACATATTTCCAAATATCAAACCTATTAGAACACTTTATAATTCACCATTTCGCAAATACAAGCTTCGGTCCAACATCTAATCCGGAATTTCAAAACGACAAATTGGACAGTTGTTATTTTTTGCCAACCACTTAACGATACACTGATAATGAAAACTATGAGAACAGAGCAGACGGGTGAACTCATTCCCAACCGAAATCTCATCCAAACAAACCACACAATTAGTAGTATCAGTAGTAGTCGTCCCATCCCCATCAAATCCACACTGAAATATCTCTTTCTTCAACCCATCAATGGCAGATTCTGAAGCACCCCTTCTCCTCCTCCACACTGATTCAAAATCCACCATCATGGACCCTTCTTCTTCTTCATCATCAATCTCGAAAAACCCATCTTCATCACCAATTCCTTCATCAACCACTTCTTCATCTTCATCTTCATTATTCTCCACAAAACCATCTTCATTACCACCAATTCGGTTTCCTTCTTCATCAAAACGCTCAAATGTCAGCATGTGAAAAAGGACCAAGAGGTCGACATTCATGGCGGATGAAGCTAATGCTCTGGCGTGCAAGTGCGTGCAGATTTCCTTTGTCAGGAAATCGACCGAACGGGGATCGAAGTTGAGGTCGAACCACGAGAGCTTGGCCCCGATGTGGCGCCGGAGGCATATTGGCTGGTTGACAAGGGATTTGGGGACATGGAGACTTGTAGATGACTCCGGACCCATGTGTTCTTCTTCTCTCCGGTCCATTATGTTGTCTCCTATCATCCTTTGGAATTCCTTTACATATTGGCGTTTGGTTTTGATTTCAACCACAAACGAATTATGGGATTGTGGGCTGTTGTGACATTCTAGGATTTTACAACACAAGAATGAAGAAGCATCCATGGATTAACTAGCGAAGTGTGTGTGTGTGTGTGTGAGAGAGAGAGAGAGAGAGAGAGAGAGAGGCTGACCGTGTTCGGTAGCACCCACAAATATGTATCTGTTTAGTATGAGTTTCTTTTATAGGTTCTAAGTTTCCTTTTGATTTCCAAAGATGAGTTCTCCTATTTCTAGTTGAATTGGGTTTTGCATTCCAATTTGAAGTTGGATTAACTCTCGTCGTTGCAATGCTAATTTTTTTTTATTATTTTTTTAATTTGAAGTTTAATTAAAGTTTCCTTATTCATTCCTTACTTTCCAAATTTGTTCTCTACTTTTGTTGTTATTTTTAATTAAAGTTTCCTTATTCATTTCTTACTTTCCAAATTTGAAGTTTAATTAAAATTTTCTTATTCATTTCTTACTTTCCAAATTTGAAGTTTAATTAAAGTTTCCTTATTCATTCCTTACTTTACAAATTTGTCCTCTACTTTTGTTGATATTTTTAGCCTCATTGGTCATTTAATGGGCAGAACCTTAAAATTTTTAGGGGATCCCAAATGTTCTACCTTAGGTTTCATTTGGATGGACGAAAATTAATGACAAAGTGAAAGTAAGAAAGTGGAATTAAAAAAAAGAAAGATTAATAAATTTTCAACCAATAATGTACTAATTTGAAGCCTATGGTAATAATTTTGTGCAGTGTTGCTAATGTTACAATTGGGGAGTTTTTAGTAAACTATCAATTATACTTTAAAATAATTGTCTTGATCTAGAATTTTGGAAATTTTAGAGGGATATTTTTCTGCTTTATAAAGTGACCATTTATGCAAACACATATATATGTCTATGACATACAGAGACACAGAGATTTTACGATGGTGCAAGTTTTTTTTTGGGTAAATGAAGGAAGTCAGGAACAGTATTTAAGACTCTGAAAATACAAAATAAGATGAAACTATTGTTATTAATTAATTATTATTATTAGTTTAAAAGGTCATTAATAGAGGGTAAAAAGGGATTACATTTATTCTTGAAATTAAATGGGTAATTTATATATGCTTCGTCCATGGCGCATGGTTTATTAATATTCTCAGAGGAACCTGAACCCAAAAGGAATTAGTGAATAAATCAGCTTTGTATGTATGTATCCTGAAGCAATTTTGAATTCAAAAAATTAATAGATTCTATATTTTATTAGTGAATAAATCAGCTTTGTATATATATATATATGTTTGTATGTATCCTAATAATTAAATTCTAAACCCAAAGGGAATCCTAAAATAGTACAATCTGGCATTGTCTCAAAAAATCATAAAAAATATGAAAAAATAGAGGATTAAACTAACATAAATAACTAAGAAGCATTCGTTTAAATCTCAGCCAAAAAAACTTCAAATATTGAATGACTTTTGGTGAAAAAACAACATTTTGATTGAAAATGAATATTTTAAAATAATCCGATCAAATTTGTACATAATATTGAATTGGGTACTACAATTCCGCTAAACATAGACATTGAATTGAGTATTATAAAAAAACCACATACTCCTCAGACACATGTAATCTCCGATCTCACATCCAATCCCGAATTTCATCAGGGCAAATTGGGCAATTGTAGCTTTGTTTTAACCACCGAATGAAAACCACGAGAACAAAGCAAGCGTGTGAACTCGAAAATGCAGAGCAGTGTCATTTACCTTCTCCTCTTTGATTTCGGTTGCAAAACCTCAAAGACCTATAAACCCTAGCTCTTCGTGTAGATTCAACCCTTTTTCTGTATCCTTGCCTTAGATCGATTGATTTTGTCTCCGTCATTGAAGTCTCTGTGGTCATCGTTGCAGCGATTACCAAATCTGTTGTTCTTCGTCGTCGGGATTGAGTGGCTGGATTTCGGCTCCGCCTCTGGTGCCGAAGCACGTATGGGATGCTTAGGGCAACGTCGGTCCCCGAGAGCGCTGTCGAGTGTTCGAAGTCCCAGAGCTTGGCGATCCACGTTGCAGCTTGGACTCTGTTCGGGCTCTGGTACCTTTTCAACATATACTTCAATATCTACAACAAACAGGTTCGTGATTTTCTGTATCTAACGCTTTTCTTCATTTTATAAGGTAATTATGGTAGAGTTTCTGAAAGAGATGTTTTGTTCTGATGATGCATTCAACTACAATGAAGAAACTGGTTTCATATTTGCTTTCAAAAGGTTTGATTCTCTGTTTTTATGTTTAAGAATGTGTTTGTAGCTTAATTAAAAATTTTGAGTCTCTGGAATGTGCTGCTAAGTCAACAATAAAATAAAAAATAAAAAAAGCCCAACTGGCATTTGGAAAGATGTCTTACACGACCATCATTGTATAATTTTGGGTGTTATTTATTACAGTATTTTTTTGTGATTTATCATTGCATCTTTTGGGTTGCACGTAACATGTTTGAATGAATGCCGGTTTGAAAATGTGTTTTTGCAACCTTAACTAGTTTTGTTCTGTACTTATAAATTGGGAATGATGACATCAGGCTTATAATAACACTATATATATAGTAACATCTAGTTTGGTTCTATAGATTTACCGGAAAAAAAAAAAAAAAAAAAAAAAAATTTCTCGGGTACTGTAATTGGGAAAGATACATTCTTGATGTGGTCTATGTCGTAAATTTTATGAAATTGCCACAAAAGAACATTCATTCTGAATTTTATGAAATTATTTTGTTTGTATTTATGAGCACAGACCTTTAATACTTTCATGATCGCATTTCTAATTTCTAATTTCTAATTAATCCTTGTGCCTGAAACTGTAAAATAATATCATTGTTCTATGAAGATTATTTCTTAGCCCTTAGATTACACTCCGCAATGAGATGTCCTAACCTTGAACTTTCACTCTTTTATAGTATGGTGTCATGTGTATAATTCTTCCATTTTAAAAAATAAAAATAAAAATAATGATAAAAAGTATAGTATTGTATGAACTGAAGAAATATCTGTACCAAGGGAAGAAACCAAAAGTCCCATTGGGCAGCGAGGCAAGACCTCAGTACAGAAACCAGACAGAAAAGGATCAAACTAGAGGTCTGACCACTACTAATACAAAAGGTACCCAATATTTCAAAGCATTCCAGCCCAAAAAGACCAACAAAAAACTGCCCTTGATACCCAAGTACGTTGCAAGGCATGAAGGTAGCACAAAAAGATAGTACTAGTTTGAGCGGGTCTTATGAGGCCTGTTTCTAGTCTAAATATAAAGGGCTCTAATTTTATCAAACTTAGATTGAATTAACCATGCCCTATCACTTCCTTTATCTTCTTTCTTCCCCTTTCATCTTGAGTCAATAGATTTTAAGGTATTATGTTTTCTATTACAGACCCTTTGTTCTTAGAGCACTACTCTTTCTAAAAGTGTAGTGCCAATATTTTTGTTATGTTGAGGCTATACCTTGTATACAATGGAATGAAAAAAATAAAATTCAAGCAACTAACTCCAAATTATTGAGAAAAAGGAGTTGTTGAGTTGACTAGATTCTATCAAAATTTCATATGTTAATTTAGATCAATAACATCCACAAAAATCAGCTCTCTTAAACATATATTATCTATAAAGAAGACAATATGAACAAAAACAATTCGAATGGTAAGGAAATCATTTAAAAATAGTTAAACTAATAATACCTTCTTCTTTTTTTCAAAAAAAAAAAAAGGGAAAAGAAGAGAGAATCATTTCTTATATAATGAAAGGTACATTCTTGTTTACACAAACACATGACTTTCACCAGCAGAGTCCGGAATTTATTATTGGGTGATGGCATGATGCCTCTTGATAATAATTAGATAAAAGAGAGGAAATTTAAGAAAGGATGAAGGCGTATAGGTGTTACTATTCTGTGTTGTGGATTGTAACTTTCCATGAATTTCCCATTTGTCACTCGTAAGGAAAAAAGAAAGAGGTGAGAAAATGATATAATTATTTCAATCGAATATGCACGCGCACACATTCACATACGGAATCACACATGTTCGCATGCCTGCATGCAAAAAAATATGAAGATAGTTTTTACAGTCTCCAAATGGATGAAGATCATAATGAAACAAACAAACCTCTATATATATATACTCAGTTCACATTATAATTCCATAGATTAGGTCTGAAAAAATTATATACATGTCTTCGCAAATCTGATCTGTGGATCTTTACATCTATAATAGTTGACACAACCAAATTTAATTTTCTATTTCATGGAAATTTAATGCGCATATGCTCCTTTTTTTTGAAGGTAGGCTTCTTCAGTCAGACAGAAACATGTCAACAAGAAATCAACAGAGAGTTTTGGTGCTCCAAAACTCATCTAAGCAGCTTTGTAAATATGCTTTTAGATGGGCCCTGCATGGCTTATCACTTAAGCGTTGTGACAAAGTCAAATTTCTTGGAGTTGTTCAGCCTTTTAAGACTTCTAATACAGCACCTCTCATGGGCTGTATAATGCTTGGTAAGAATTCGTCTTTTTCAGATTATTATTGCAGTGATACATGTACCTCCTAGCAGGAAAAGCAATGACAATAGTTGGAATAATAATTTTTCTCCATTCTAAATTCCGGCTTACAATTTTCAGAGAATTTATAACGATTGAGTTTTTTAGATGTTAAAAACGATCTCCATATTCTTCCAACTCCTAATCGATATGCATATTAAGTTAGGGCTCGTCTATGTGTTGTTGCATTGAGTTTCCGAAGATCGTTTAAAATGATCGAATCCTGAATTAGGTGATTTTTCAGAAGCTCTCTGTGTACAATTAAGCAATCAGGTGAGAATTTTCTAGTGCTTTCTCTTTTTGGTTGTATCAGTAAATGCACCTACTTGTGTTTCTCTATTTCTATTTCTTCTTAGTCAATTTATTTATTTTTTAATAGCTTTGCAATTGAATGGCATATTGATTATTTTGAGGTTTATTTTGGTTTCTTAGTTAGACTTTGAATCAAATCACAAGTGTGAATGTTTTCATAGATTTTGTGTAGTTCAACTCCCTCGGTAAATATAAATTTTGTGTAGTTCTGAATAAAATAAGTATAAATTATCACTAGTGTGCTTACTGCCTAATTTGTCTGTCTTGGAGAGCTGAGTTGATTATGATAAAATTGAAGTGTTTCACATTTTTATTGGATTGTCGGAATCAGTTTTCTTACAAATAATTTGCATTTAAATCAAGGCACAATTCACCATTTTCTGTTCCTTTGCTGCCTTCAGATGCAGAGATATTTCATTTGGATTGTTTTCTTTGTCTGGATTGTCTTGGTCATTTTATGTTTCAGAGTATGTAACTGGGCAACAGAATTCATATTATACTGGATTTTCCACTTGGTTGTATCCATCAAAGGTAAGTTACCGGACTCTTATCCATCTATAATCAGTATGTTAATTTTTTTCCCCAAAATGAACAAAAACCCTAACATTCCATATCTTGGAATGCACATTCACTTCTATTGTAAAATGATCCTAAAATTTATTCTAATTCTTCTCTTTATAAGGGAAAACATCAAGAATTATGAACAAAATTCTTGTAGAATGGAGGTTTCTTTACGGAGATGAATAGGAAGTTACTATACTGACTACAAAGGTTTGTAGATCTAATTTAGATTTAATTGCCTTTATTATTTGGAATGGCAATTTGAAATCTTGTGTTTTTTGTTTATTATTATTTTTTTTTGAATTAACGTTTTCGAATGGGGAGTAACTAATGGTTATATTGATCTAGTTTTTTGTGATATTATAACAATTTTTGCAGCCAGAAGAAACTATCGTCATAGGAATGCAGGAGCCAGTTCCATTGACCTTTGCACTGAGGTACCTGAACTCCTTCACCGAAGCCATCCCACTGTTTGTGAACGTATATATATCATTTTTATAGTGAGTCAGATCTGTTACTATTATGGATAGGTTTGTATTCATTGTTTTAGGTTGAGATCTGTATAGATAGATAGATTTTGTATACTATTTTGTAGGTTGGATAAATTTTGTATAGGTTGAGAGTTCTTATATGTATAGGTTTTGTATAAACAAAAAGAGAAAACTGTAAAATTGTACATAAACATTGAATTGAGTTTTACAATTCCGCTAAACATAAACATTGAGACATTAGAAATATATTTCAAAGCGTTGAACTTGTTAGAGCACATCATAATCTTAATTCACCATATCCCCAATTTCATAACGACAAATTGGGCAGGTGTTGCTTTGTTGCAACCACTGAACAATACATTGATGATGAAAAACATGAGAACAATGCAAGCGTGTGAATTCCGTCCCAACCAAAATATCATCTATACAAACCACACAAGTAGTAGTAGTAGTAGTCGTCTCATCATCCCCGTTACATCCAAACTCAAATTTCTCTTTCTTCAACCCATCAATGGCAGATTGTGAAGCACCCCTGTTCGGCATCATCAACAGTTGTTCATCTCCATCAATCTCCAAAAAACCATCATCAAGATTATGATCGCCAATTACTGCATCATATTCATCATATACCTGCAGTTCTTCTTCTTCTACATCAACCGACTCAACAGTCACTATTTCGAACTCGACCGAGAGGTCCACCAACGCAACTCCAACATTCAAGAAGTACTTGGCGAGCAAGTGAAGGAAGATTTGCTTGGCCAGGTAATTGATGGAACCGGAACCGGGATCGAAGCTCCGGTCAGTCGAGGAGAGCTCGTTCTCGATGTGGGATTCTAGGCATAGAGGGTAGTTGATGAGGGAATTGGGAACATGAAAACAAGTAGATGACTCGGGACCCATGTAACGATCTTCTATCAAGTCTAAGTTGTTTCTCGTTCGTAATTTCTTTTGATATCTTTGTTTGGTGTTGATTTTAACAACAAAAGAATCTTGGGATTGTGTGTGGTCATGATCACACTCTTCTGCCTCAAACTTTAAGTATGTAGAAGTAGCCATTGATGAACAAGCAGAGAGCTAGAGAGAAGAGAATATCGCGCACTACCAGACAGACTGAGGCCACAACTTCACAAGAAGGGTTGGACTAATTAATGGTTAAGGTTTTGGAGTTTAAGTTTCCAATTCGGTGTAGGAATGCTATATATAGTTTTAGTTTCCTTTTGTATAAGCTATGTTATTCTATTTGAATTCGGTTTATTAGAGTTTAAGTTTCTTCGGTTTATTGGAGTTTAAGTAAGTTTCTTCAGTTTCTTGGAGTTTAAGTTTCTTCAGTTTCTTGGAGTTTAATTTGGATTTTACAACTAATATAGAGTTAATATATATTATGTTATATCATATCTGAACATATTTATTAATATTTGTTAAATATATATAGTTGGAATTTTTTTTTTTTTTTTTTTTCATTTCATTTTATAGGTTTAGTTTCCTTTTGGATAAGCTAAGTTTGTTTGTTTGTTTTTTTTTTTTTTTTTTTTTTTTTGAGATAAGCTAATAAGTTCTCCCTTTTGATAGGATTTGACAACTAGGTCCCGTTTGGCATGAGTTTTGTTTCTACTATTTTTATTTTTGGACCACTACAATGTTGATTTTGACAACAAAAGCATGTTTGGTGCGGCCTTCTTTTATTTTACACATTGCTAAAACACTTCGTGAACAGCCCAAAACCAAAACACTAAAAAAAAATATTTTTTTCTTATTTTGACAACTGTTCATGACCCAAAACCATAACAGTACTGCAACACGGGCCAAAAACAAAACGCCTAAAACATCGTTTTCCAAATGTGTTTCTGATTTTTTTTTCAAAACACTCTTACAACACCTAAAACATCGTTTTCCAGATGTGTTTCTGATTTTTTTTTCAAAACACTCCTACAACAAAAACACTATTTCTAATTGTTTTGACCAAAAACAAAACGTCATAAAACAAAACGCATACCAACTAAACGACGCTAAATAAAGTTAATACAGTATATATTACTATGTTATATCATATCTAAACAAAATTTTGAATTTAGGTGTGGTAGTCTTAATTGGTACTCCCAATCATTTCCAGGTTACAAAAAATAAAAAAATACGTATTTTTTAATATCGTAAATATATATATATAGTTTTGAAAAGTGATCTAATATATATATATATATATATTAGTTTATATAGCATAAGCTATGAATTCAGGAATTTGATTATGCATTAATATACAATAGCAGTTCAATCCTCTGCTGTGTGTGGATCGAGCTTGATTTCCTGTGGCTAGCATCATTTTTAAATGCTTCACAAAATTTTTCTGTTCTTTTTTCTTGTTTTGAGATCATATACAGATGTGAATAATAAATAAATAAATAAATAAATAAAATACAGTGTTGTCTCTGAGTATTACACTTCCACCCAAAAAACACATTGGCCATTGGAAGCATATTTCAAACTAAGATTGAATAATCTCAGTATATCTAATCTGGAATTTCATAACGACAAATTGGGCAGTTGTTGCTTTCTTCCAACCACTGAATAATACACTGATAATGAAAACCATGAGAACAGAGCAACCGAGTGAACTCATTCCCAACCGAAATATCATCCAAACAAACCACGCAATTAGTAGCAGTAGTTTCATCTCCATCAAATCCACACCCAAATTTCTCTTTCTCCAACCCATCAATGGCGGATTTTGAAGCACCACTATTCCCACTCCGCACTAAATATTCATCATAATCTTCCATATTCATCCTTAACCACTCTTCTACTTCACTGTCCAAAAAATCATCTAATTCATTACCAATTCCTTCATCAACCACTTCTTCTTCTTCATCATCAATCTCCGCCAAACCACCATTATCATTCCCAATTCGTTCTTCATTAACCAACTCAATTGTCAATGAACTAGAAAAGTGAGAGAGAAACAGACGAGGTGTGTTACGACAAACACCGCGAACGAAGAACAAATAAATAAACCAATACAAAATTAAACACTCGACACAAATCAATAAAACAAAAACAGAAGAAAGCAGACCCCAGAAAGAAAAGAACATAAAGAAGATTTATTACGTCCATACTCTTCCTCTCATACCACCACACAACTTTCAAAAGAAGGGTTGGAATTGGTATGAGTTTCTTTTATAGGTTTAGGGTTTCGTTTTCCATAAACTAAGTTCTCCTATTTATAGGAGTATTAGTACTTTTCAAGGACAATCTATTTAAATAATTTTTTACTCATGTTTCCATAATCAACTCCTATCTGAATTTAGTTTCTTTTGATTTATCCTTTTTGAAGTTTAATTGATTTTCTGTATTCCAAAAGTTTAATTAAGTTTTTGTATTCCAAAAATTTAATTAAGGATCTGTTTGACAATTGTTTTTACTGAACTTTCAAACTTCAGCTAATCTATAAGTGTTTTACAAGACTCAAATGAGGGCACTAAATTTGGGTTTGGATAACTGTTTTTGTAAACTAATTTTGATTTGCCAACTAACAAAGAGTTAAAATATACTCCAATATTCCAAATGCAAATCAAAGGTATTATATACACTAATATCCGTCCCTGGAGAGAGCGGCTTTGGCAGAAATTCGGGATGTAACTCCTTAAAATTTCGCTTTCGAATCACACTTCTAACTTGAATAGTACGTGTATTGTAAGGCCAATACACGTGTTCAAAGGGAAAATATATATATATATATATATATACACACACACTAATACCTTGATTTGCGTTTGGAGTATTATGTTATGTAAACAGATATTGGCTTTCCAGTATTCCATGATCAAGCATTCCAATCATTTTTAATTAATTAAAAGGATAGAAATACTTCTCTATTTTCCTTGTTTCTCTATTTTTTTTTTCCTTGGATTATTATAAAACCAAACATATCTAAATTACTAATTTTTTTTATTTTTATTATTATTATTTTTTTTCACCAATCAATTGATATTTCGCTATTTTCTTCTTCCATATCCTCAACTAGTATGTGAACCACTTCAAGCTTTGATGAAATCCCAAATTTTTGAAGGGATTTTTTGCATTTTTGGATTGTAACTTTTTTAGTTTGAAAAAGTTTTTTTTTAATTTTTTGGTGTGTATATAGCATTTTTTTTTTTTTTTGGAGAATACGAAGTGTATATAGCATAAATTAAGGATTCAAAAATTTTAATTATGCATTGAAAGACTTTGGAAATTTAAACCATCCATAAAGAAATAGTGGAACATATTTCTTACATGTTTAGATAAGTCTCGTGAAGTCCTACTAAATCAAAGCCAAGATGAAATAAACAAGTAAAAAAATAGATTTTATATATATATATATATATATATATATATATATATATATATATATATATGTATGTATGTATTAAAAATATTATCATCCCTGTCCCCAAAGTGCCATCAGTTCCCTACTTCTATGGATTCTCATCAATTCTTATTCTTTCTAAACAAAATTCTTTTGTTCTTTTTGAATTAGAGAAAAAAAAGAAAAAAGAAAAAAATAAAAAAATAGAACTACTAGAAAGTTAATGAAAAGTGTGTGATCTACGTTGGATAGCACGGTGTGTATGTCACAGTTGAATAATGTCCGAATTTACAAATAATTTTCTTTAAGTATATTTTGTGCACAATAATTTTTAAATTATCATACTTTGCTGTAAAATATTTCCATACCAGTATATATTTAAATAATTATAATGTTCTTTCTTATTGAATTACACAGTATACATTGAAACCATTTTTCTTATTAAAATAAGTTATTAAAAAATTCATGTTAATTTAATGAAATATTTTCCATTAAATTTGCATAAATTTAGTTTAAATTATTGAAATTAATTATTTAAATAAAAAGCATATGTAATTTTTTAAAAACAATTTAATTAATTTTTTAATATTTCATAAATATCTTGCATGATAAAGTAGGTATTCTTTGTTTAAGTAATTTATTCATTTTTTTTTATGCATATATTGCATGAAAAAGAAGTTAAATTTTTACGGCAAAAAAGTTTAAATTGAGTATAATAAATTTTATTTTAGATAGTAAAGTTTTAATAATAAGTTAATCATTAAAAAAAATGGAAGTTACATCTTTATTTTTTTTCTTTCTATTTTTAATGGTAAATAAATAAAGGTAAATGTAATAATTAATATTTAGATAATGAAAAATTAAATGACAAAGGGTAAAATAATTTTTTGCAATGGTTTTACTAGTTAAATTGAGTATAATAAGTTTTATTATAGATAGTCCAACATTGATATTTTTATTTTTATTTTATTTATTATTTTTTTTTTATAGGTAAAGTACAGCAACACTGGTTTGCCGTAATGTCAGCCATATACAAGTTGAGCATTTTTTTGGACAATGACACCCCCTATTAAAAATTGGATCCAAACATGTCCTTAAAAGTTGTGAAAAAGTCAAAATTACCCTTTAATATTTTATAAATTTAAATGATAAAATATAAAAAAATCTTAGGGTAAATTACACTTACCTCCCTTAAGGTTTGGGCAAATCTCACATGGGTGGAGCTTTGATGTTTTATTACTCTGACCTCCCTTAAGACTATCAAAAGTCAATTATATCTTTATATGTAATGTATTTTTATAATACAAAATATATTAAAAAATCTAAAAAAAAAATCAATTTTCTATATCATCTCTCTAATTACTTTCTATCTATTCTCCACCACCGTTACCTCCTCTAAAATAATATTGTAAATAAATAAATAATAATAATTGTAAGGGCAACTTCTTCATTTTATGAATTTTTTTTACAAGTTTTGACAAAGAAGGGGGGTCGGGCGGGCGCCCAAACCTTAAGGGAGGTCAAAGTAATAAATCTGAAACGCTCCACTTGTGTGAGATTTGTCCAAACCTTAGGGGAGGTCAGTGTAATTTACCCAAAATCTTAAATGACACTTTTACCCTCAGTACACCTCACTAATCTCTCTCTCCTTTCACCTCTTTCATCAGAAACTCTATTTTCTCTTTTTTATAGGATGCCCTTCTTTGATGACCTCGGTCAGATGATCGATCGCCTAATGTTGCTAGAGCAACCACCTAAACGAGAACAAAGCAGATGAGCGAAACCTGTTGCTATATTAGAATCATAGAAAGACGTTGTAGAAGCTGCCTGCTAACTAACCGTATGACTCGTCAGCCGTTCATGTGCAAATTTCTAGCGAACTCGGTCGAATTCTAAACGATGAAGGTTGATCCATCTTTGTTCCATGAGATCACATTATCAATCATACGATACGCTTTGGTTAAGAACAGCATAGGAAGAGATCTCGGTAAAGCGCCAGTCATCACATATCTTGATGCATCGCCAACATTAATTCTCCGCCCGGCCGTGGAGCCATCGCTGTCGCACCTAAACAATCAAACACCATCAATACATATAAACATACATTAAAGGCCCCAAAGCCATCTCCGCGCTTTTTCAGATCCTTCTCGCTTGGGGGCAAAGGCTGTGCTGGTGTCGGCGCCGCTTCTTCCGTTGCCGCCGTTGTGCTAGGAAGATCTTGGAAGTGTGTATGTGTGTGTTTGTATATATATTATAAATATAATAAAAGGTGTCAATTTATTATTAGTCCACATCAGCGGTCAGTATGGTGTAAGTCTTCACTAGTGAGGACATAAGTATATATATGTTGAATATTTAGGTATTTGAAAGTGATGGTGTGTGTGTCCAGACATGGACCCAACGTAGGACCAGTAGGCAGATGCCCCATTGGATTTTTTAGATTTTCATTTTATATCTTAATTATTTTAGAATTTATGAAGATGTCCTCACTAAAATTACAAATCGCCCCCACTTAATTTTTTTACGTCAAATTTTTGAAAATTTATGAAGATACCCTCACTAAAATTACAACTTGCCCCCACTAAATTTTATTTTTTTACATTTTATACTTTAATTTTTAAAAAATTTATAAAGAAAACTATATTGAAATTAAAAAAATTGACCCACTATATAAGTTTGGCCCGACAAATTAAAAAGCCTCCCTTTTACAAAATTTTCTACCTCTGTCATAGTGTGCGTCAATATATATATATATGGATGTTTTTTTTTTTTTTTTTTTTTTTTTTTTTTTTTTTTTTTTAACGCCAAACAATCAACTAACATTCAAATAACCGGAATTACATAATCTGAGAGAAGAGCTGTAATGACCCGGTCTTTTCCTTCTTTTCCATTTTCGACGATTTTTTTTTTTCGTCTTTTTCTTTTTTGTCTTTTCCCTATTACGTCTTTTTTCCCGTTTTTCGTTTTTCCTTGCATAACCTCACTTGTTGTGCTCGGATTTGATTCCGGTTTTGCATACATTCATGGTATTTGATTTCCATGACATTGGTATTTTTACTTTTCTTGAAAAGCATGCTAAATTAGTACGTTTCTTGTAAAGGGCATGAATGTGTAATTATTTATAACTTTTGGAGTTTTAGTGTAATTATGTAAAATAACTATTTTTTATTTTAGGGACCTTTTTGTAATTTATTTTAGAAGATATTTTGAAAAGGGGCTATTTTGTAATTTTTGGAAAGTGTGACAAGTGTCACACTCTTATGGAGCCATTTGTTGGCATTTGGGTGAAGAGACTTGGCACCATGACTTCTTGACATTTGGTGGGTGAAGATTCATCCATGTGTTGGCCTTAGATTAATACACATGTAGTCTTTGATTTGTGACAAATGTGGGCTTGGGATTTAGTCTTGGAAGAGGCATTGGATTAGTGACAAGTGCAGGATCAAGGTTTAGTCTTGCATTGTGTGTGTGTGAGAGGTAGTGCAAGAGCACATAGTGAGTGGAGGATTTCTAGCCCTTCCACTCACCATTTTACACTTTACCTTCTTCATTTCATTATCTCTCTTGAACCCTAGCAAATCCACCATTGGAGAAAGCTTAGTTCATAGCTTCCCCTTCAATTTGGTTCACTTCCTTACACCTTAGAGTAGAAACCTCGGGAGAGAAAGTTTCTCCTCACTCTCCTCTTCGATAACCCTAAACTTATTTTACATTTAGGGCTTAGTTGTTTGGATTATAGAGATT